GCTCGAATTATGGAAGTTGTGAGCTGCCCAGTTCGTAACTGAATTCTGGTTCTTTGTAGCAGAACTAAGCACTATTAGCTTCTGAGCCATCTCTCTAGCCCCTTAAAAAAAATTTAAAGGCATTGTTATTACTGACTGTTAAGAAAGAGTCTCATGTGACCCAGGATGGCCTATGACTCAGCATGTAGCCAAGGGTGACCCTGAACTGGGTCTTCTCCTTCCTCTACTTCCAGAGTGCTAGAGTTACAGGTGTATGCTACCACCCCCGCCTTATGTGCTGGTGGGGATCCGAAATAGGCAGGTAGTCTCCTAACTTGAATTCTAACAGTCCTCTGGCTTTAGCCTTCTGAGAAGTAGGATTACAGGTATAAGCCACCATGATGGCCTCCAACCTGCTTTAGTTTTGATGCCTTCTGTTTCTGGTATATAGAGCTATTTATTTGAGGGGTTTCTCTGGGTGTCCCTGCTTTTTTTTTTTTCCTCTTGTGTTGGATTTTGTTTTCTGGATCCCAATCTCTCTATTTCTTTGCTTACTCACTATTTTGATGGCTCTTAGGCTGTAGTAGCTCCCTAACAAAGAGGGTTAGGGACCTACTCAAGACCTTGTATTTCTGAAAATGTCTGTATCCCATACTTGACTGATAGTTTGGCAGATAATTGATTTCCCTTCAGAATTTTGCTGATGTTACAATGTTGTTTAGTAACTCCCCTGTTGCTATTGAAAATTCTGGTCTTTATGATTATTCTGTATATGACCTATTTTTCATTTTCTCCCTGTAAGCTTATATAACATTTTATCTTTGTATTATTAGATATAATAGATAATTTTTCAAATTTCAGTGATTTAACACATCCAATGTTTGTTTTTCCTTTATTTTACCACCAGGTGATTGTATGTACAGGGATATATTTGTTTTAAAATAGAATCTAAGATATTTTAGTCTTGTGGCTTCATGTTCCCCTAGGCAATCTAATATCTATCCATTCAGCTAATGATGGAGAAAGAGAAGAAGACTTATAACTCAAATATTTTTAAGACTAGGCTTGAAAATTACATGGATTACTCCTGTTCCCAATCTTTTAGTCTTATTACCATAATTGCTCTGCACTTGCCAAGGATCTCTGAATTGTAGTCTACTTGTACTTAGGAAGAAGAGAGTAACCACAAGTTGCTGATCTTCATTCTTCTGAAGATTCACAGTACTGTGCCTTGCTGTGGGATCAGCTTTCTTCCATCATACCCAGGGTTCAGCCTTTTCCAAGTAAATCTTGTCCTTTGGGTGTGGGAAACTTTTTTATTAATTTATTTTTTATATTCCAATCTCAGTTCCCCTTCCCTCCTCTTTTCTCACTGCCCCCAACTCCCCCTCCTCCCATCTGCTCCTTGGAGAGGGTAAGTCTACTAAGTCTGTCCCATCATCTCGTTGAGGCAGGACCAAGGCACCTCTCCACCCCCAGGTGTGGGAAACTTTTTAAAAATTATTTATTTTAATTTTTAAATTTATTTATTTTTAAATTTAATTTATTTTAATTTAATGTGCATTAGTGTTTTGCCTGCATGTATGTCTACGTGAGAGTGTTGAGTACCCTGGAACTGGAGTTATAGACAGTTGTGAACTGCCATGTGGGCACTGGGAACTGAACCCAGGTCCTCTGGAAAAGCAGTAGTGCTCTTAACCACTGAACCATCTCTCCATCCCCCAGGTCAGGTGTGGGAAATTTTGCTTGTGGTTCTTCAACAGCAGTGGATTTGTAGAACTTTTTTTCTAAAATTTTATTCCCTATTTTCATATTTTTGAGGTAATTTCCTCCAGTTTTTCTTCCAACTCTTTGTTGAGGAAACCTCATTTTTGTTCAATATCAGTATTGTTATGTCTTTACTCTTAGATTTTCCATTTTGATGGGCAAAAACCTAACAGCCAACTTTTGGTTTGGTTTGGTTTGGTTTGGTTTTTCCAGACAGGGTTTCTCTGTGGCTTTGGAGGCTGACCTGGAACTAGCTCTTGTAGACCAGGCTGGTCTCGAACTCAGAGATCCACCTGCCTCTGCCTCCCGAGTGCTGGGATTAAAGGCGTGCGCTGCACCACCCGACTCATCTAACATTTCTGAAGCAGGGGAAGAGGCATGTTATCTCAGTGCTCAGTGTTTAGATTCAATAAACCCACTTCTTAAAAGACAGTTTTGGTTTTCATCACAGAAGCTTCAGCATATTCAGAGAACAGCTTCTCCCTGCATCAGGGTTAGGGAGGGCCAGCCTCGAGGATACTGAAAAGAGGAGGTAAAATTCTAATTAAATTCAGTTTTAAAAGAGGATAAAAAAAGTTGGCTCTTTTTGAAATCTAGGTATCTAGGTACAAATAATTCTTAACCAAATTGATTGACAAAATAGCTTCTATTTCAGAGTAAGATTGGTTCAAAAAATGGCCAGTATTTCAAGTCTTGCACTCAATTGTTAGTTACTGGCATCATGTATTCTGATCAGTAGTTGCAGTTTAGAGTTTTCCATAATCCTGTTCTTTCTAGTATAATAGCATCTAAAGGAACAGTCCCGGTGTTGATTATAGGTGCTAAATATAGGTGAAAAGAATTGCCATTGGTTATCATCAACCCTCACATATTCATTGTACCTCATAGTACCTCTTTTGCCCTCTATTTATACTGAACTCATTAATAAGGTCTTTTTTTAATGTTCCATATCTAAAAGCAGTATTTTCAGAGATCCACTGATTTTTTTAAAGTCAAATCTACTTAATTGTTTTCCATTTTTTTTTGCATTTTTTTCTTACAGTTGCTTCTACAGGAAATATTTATGGTGGCTTGGTCTTCAAGAAATTTCTACAAGGTAAACAATTACCTAATTTCCAGGAGATTAAATATCTTTCTGTCTATGAGTTTGGTGTTTTTCTGAAATAGATTTATTCTGAAGGATAGAATTCCTTGGTTTAGTAAATAAAAATATAGGGTACCCACTTAAATTTGACTTTCAGATAAACACTAGGTTTCTTTTTAAAGATGTATTTTATTTTTCAGTTATGTGTATGTTTCCATGTGTATATATGCCACTTGTATGTGGATGTCTTCTGGGTTTAGAAAGGAAGTCAGATCTGGTGCTGATGGTTGTGAGCTGCCCAACATGGGCACTGAGTGCTTTTGCAGAGGACTGAGGTTCAGTGCTAGCACCCACAAGACTGCTCACAACTATTACTTCTGTTCTAGGGATCATGCTCCCTCTTCTGTCTTCTTCAAGCATCAGCCATGCCTGTGATACACATATATGCGAACAAAATGCTCATTAAAATTAAAAATTTTTAAATTAAATTTAAAAACTAAAAACCCCAAATCTTAACAAAAGAATTTTACTTTAATACTCTAGTTATGTGCATGCTAAAAGTTACCCTTAACCAGATAGTCATATCTAATTATGAGCATACTGCAGGTACATATAACTAGATGTATATATCTTATTCTGCCAGTTATATTTTGATAATTTGAACAGGGGGTTAGAGTGACATTAATCACTATAATGTTTTTACGTAAATTACAAATTAAAAATGAGCTTTTATGTAAAGTTTTCATAGGAATTGATCTGCAACTTTATGAGGAAAATATCTAGATCTTTTTTAGCTTCTAGCAGTTATTTACTAGTTTGTTATCAAGCATCTAATTTTGCCTTTCTTCTTCCCCTCCATGACAACATTCTTGAGATTTGAGTTTCTTTCTTTCTTTCTTCCTTTCTTTCTTTCTTTCTTTCTTTCTTTCTTTCTTTCTTTCTTTCTTGTTTTGTTTTCTAGACAGGGTTTCTCTGTGGCTTTGGAATCTATCCTGGAACTAGCTCTTGTAGACCAGGTTGGTCTCGAACTCACAGAGATACACCTCCTCTGCCTCCTGAGTGCTGGGATTAAAGGCATGCGCCACCACGGCCCTCTGCCCAGCTGAGATTTGAGTTTCTTAATGCCTGCAGTTGCATACACTTTGGGGACAGCTGACCACACCCATGGAGGCAGACCATGCTCGGGGAGGCAGCATATCCCACTTTTCTTAGAGAGCAGCATGCCTGACTATCACTCAGGGTTGCACAGTAACTAAACATGGGTATAAACTGCTCTTAGAGCTAGAACATTTTCCCTGGAAGTAACCTTATGTTTAGACAACCCAAGTTCTAAATTTTAAAGAGATAATGAGGATAGAACCATGTGGTGATATTTTGTTTATATCTAAAAAATAAAGCTTGCTTGAAGATCAGAGTGCAGAGCTAAGCCGCTAGTTAGCCACACACACACTGAACCCTAGTTAGCCACACACCTAAACCACTAGTTAGCCATAGAGGACAGGCAGTGGTGTCCACACCTTCAATCCCATCACTCTTTAACCCCAGAGACAGAGGCAGATGGATGTCCGTGAGTTCAAGGCCACCCTTGGCTACTTGTGAGTGAATCAATCTAAAAGAGAAACAGAGCTCACACCACACCTTTGATCCCAGCATTTGGGATAACACATCTTTAACCCCAGCACTAGAGAGGAATAATAAGGCAGGAGCTCAGTGCAGTCTGCTTGAGTCCGAGGAACAGTGAAGTTTGGAAATGCAATCAGAAGACATGATAGGCCCTTTGGTCTGAGCATTCGGAGAGGTGAGAACTCTCTAGTGGTTGGCCACTTTGCTTCTCTGGTCTTCAGCTTTAACCCCAATATCTGTCTCTGGGTTTTTATTATTGGTGCTACAAAGCTATTCTTGTTGTCTGCCTGCCTCTGTCTATTGAGTGCTGCAATTAAAGGTGAGCGACACCAATGCCTGGATGTTTTTGGTTTCTTTCTTTCTTTTTTTTTTCCCTTTGGTTTTTTGAGACAGGGTTTCTCTGTGTAGCTATGGAGCCTATCCTGGCACTCGCTCTGCCTCTAACTCACAGAGATCCGCCTGCCTCTGCCTCCCGAGTGCTGGGATTAAAGGCATGTGCCACCAACACCCGGCTTGTTTTTGGTTTCTTGAGACAGAGTCTCTCTATTATGTAGCCTTGATTTGTCCTGGGATCTTGCTATTTAGACCAAGTTGGCTTCGAACTCACTTGCCTCTGCCTCCTGAATTCTGGGGTTAAAGGCATGTGCCATCATGCCCATCCCACTTCTATTTCTTCATTGTTTTTGAGAAACCATGTCCAATTTATGATGTGCTGGGATGGGACCCATGGCCTCTTGCATGCTAAGGAAGCACACTACCAACTGAGCTGTATCATACTTATATTTTAATCACTCTGCCCTATTGCCCTACTGACTCCCAAGCTGTCCCATAAGAAAGGTGTCATCAACTTACTGTCCTGAAGAGTTCCTCTAAATCCAAGACTTTGGAGACCTGAATTCAAGTTCAAAGTGGTGGGTTGTGACTGGACATGATGGTACATGCCTGTGATCACAGCACTTGAGAACTGGAGAATCAGAAGTTTAATTCCTTGGCTACCTAGTGAATTTGAGACCAACCTGAACTACATGAAACCCTGTCTCAAAAACCCAATCCCCTCCCCTCCTAAAAAAGAATCATTGATCAGTAGCCTCAAAATCGTCTCTCTTACTTATAGTTAGTTGCTCTTCTTTTGGGGATTGTTTCCATGGGATGATACAGACAATTTAAAGAACGTACCTAATGCCACTGCTCCAGATGATATGTGTGAAAATAGGAATCTCTATAGGCAGAAGGAATGTGTTATGAGCAGTGGGGAGGTAATAGGATTTTCATTTTTCTTTTTTTTTCTTTTTCTTTTCTTTTCTTTTTTTTTTTCTCGAGACAGGGTTTTGAAACCCCTGTGTAGCTTTGGAGCCTATCCTGGCACTCACTCTGGAGACCAGGCTGGCCTTGAACTCACAGAGATCCACCTGCCTCTGCCTCCCGAGTGCTGGGATTAAAGGCATGCACAACCAACACCAGCTAGGATTTTCTGTTACATCAACTCATACTTGTGCAAGGAGTGGTCAGATTATGTAAAGCTGCTTCAACTAATATTTGTGAAAGTGCTTTGAAAAATGAAACCCCATAACAACAAAGAAGTAAGTTATTGCCATTGTAACTAGTAGGGAAGAAGCATCAAGTGTCATTTATAGAACAATCACATTTTTATACTAATACAAAATTTAGATAGTGTCATGGTGACTTAGATTTAACTGCTAATTTTTAAAGCTCAAACAATTTTGTTTAATATATTTTTATATAACTATGATAAATAATGAATGTCTCTTTGTTCAAATATGAAATATTATGGATAAAATATGCAGTAAAAATTGAGTCATTTGTTCATTGTCAGTCACATTTAGTAGCCAACTTCAGCTTAATTCTTCAGTTGTTAGGGCTCATAATACTAACCTTCACTCCATAATGCTATTTATTCATACTAATTAGTAGCATAAATTGCTCAGTGAAGCTCACAAACAAAATTGGCCAAGACTAAGACTCAAATCCCTTAGCTCCTTGGCTTATGCGTCATTAATTATGCCTTTATTACTATTATTATTTATTTAACATTCCTATAACACTGTTAGCAAACTGCTTTAAATTGGTCCACTGTCTTTACACTGTTTAATTAGCTTCATCAGGGAGTTTCTGGAAGCTGATTCATTAATCACCAGGGTCCAGATGCTGAAGAGTTGTATATCTTTCAAAATTAGTAGTATATCTCTGAATTCAGTGGGAGCACATTGCCATCTTCATCCCTCACTTGATTTCTGTCAGTGCCTGAATAAGGTACTTCTTTAAGGGAGCTGAATCGCTGGAATAATATAGCTTCCATTGTCTTCACCTCTTTGGCTTCTACCATCTGGGCATTCCAGATCATTTTCTACAAATAGGCTCATACTTTATGCTGTATAAATAAGCAGCAGACCAAGGCAACTTCCCAAGTGTCCTGCCTTTCTAGACTTGTTTCTTTTAATCCTTCTCCAGTTTCTAACGACTCATGCTTTTATTCAGTAAACCTTTATTGACTATCTGCCTTGTCATGTAGTGACAGAAATGAGAATCAGCTCTACAAGTAAAATACGATGTGACAGGATTCTAAGGGAGCTGTGTTCACAGAACTTTTGTGGTAATCCAGAGGGTAGTCCTCAAAGTTACATCACAAGACATTTTTTTTCATATTCTATCACTGACATGTCTGCTAACACCAATGGAATCGCTTGTCAAATCAACTATTCTGTTTGGGAGTTATTCTGAAATATGTGTAACATGCTTTCTTAAATTACTATTTGATGTATCTATTTATTTGCTTTTTTTTTATTTCTCCTTTTGTTGTTGGTTTTTCCAGACAGGGTTTCTCTGTGTAACAACAGCTCTGGCTGTCCTGAAACTTGATTTGTAGACCAGGTTGGCCTTGAACTCAGAGATCCCCCTGCCTCTGCCTCCCAAGTGCTGGGATTAAAGGCATGTGCCACCACCACTTCCCAGCTTCAAGATTCCTTTTTAATTATGTCAACATTCTTATAATTCTCCAGGGTTAGAAATATTGCCTAGAAAAATGAGGAGTGAGTTTCTTAGTTTTTTTTCTTTGTTATCTAACAAACTCATTTTTTGTTAATTATGTCTTTATAATATACAATTGTTTATTGAGTTCATTTAAAAGTGCTTTTAGGGCTGGAGAGATGGCTCAGCAGTTAAGAACACTGGCTGCTCTTCCTGAGGATCCGGGTTCAATTCTAGCACACATATGACATCTTACAACTGTCTGTAACTCCAGTTCAGGGTATCTGATAGCCTCACACAGACATACATGCAGGCAAAACACCAATGTACATGAAATAAAAATAAAAAAATTTAAAAAATCTTTTAAAAGTACTTTTAGGTTCTTCTCTGAATCATTTCCTATT